CTGCGCAGGGTGCCCAGCAGGCGGGACATGCTGCCGGCAGCCTCCGCGCTCCGCACCGCGCAGCCCCGACCCGCGCAGCGCCCCGCGGGGCCGCGGGCAGGTGAGCCCCGCCCCGCCCCGACAAGCCCCGCCCCGCCAGGTGCGCCCGGCCACGCCCCGCCCGCACAGGTGCGGTGCCCCGCTCCGGAGCGCCCCCTGCCGGCCGGGTGTGGAACGCCCTGGAGCTCAGCGGGAGCTGCAGGGTTTCCATGGAAAACGCTTATCATAAAATCATAGAATGGGTTGGGTTGGGAGGGACCTTAAAGATCATGGAGTTTCAACACCTCCCACCAGACCAGGTCACTCAAAGCCCCATCCAGCCTGGCCTTGAACACTTCCAGGGATGGGGCAGCTACAGCTTCTCTGGGCAACCTGTTCCAGTGTCTCACCACCCTCACAGTAAAGAATATCTTCCCGATATCCAATCCGAATCTCCCCTCCTTCAGTCTAAAACCATTACCCTTCGTCCCTTCCCTGCACTCCCTGATAAAGAGTCCTTCCCCCCACCCCTTCCTTCCTGTAGGTCCCCTTTAGGTACTGAAGGGGCTACAAGGTCTCTCCAGAGCCTTCTCCAGGCTGAACAACCCCAACCCTCTCAGCCTGTCTTCATAGCAGAGGTGCTCCAGCCCTCTGATCACCTTTGTAGCATCCTCTGGACTTGCTCCAAGTCAATGTCTCTCTTACGTTGGGGGCCCCAGAGCTGGACACAGTACTCCAGGTGGGATCTCATGAGAGCAGAGTAGAAGGACAGAATCACCTCCCTCGACCTGCTGGCTAGGCTGCTTTTTGTACCCCCCAGGATGCCGTTGTCTTTCAGGGCTGTGAGCACACATTGCTGGGTCATGTTGAGCTTCTCATCAACCAACATCCCCAAGTCTTTCTCAGGGATGCTCTCAGTCCAATGGGTGCCATGAAAAGGGTGAGGAAGGCCACCGGGGAGACCCCCTTCCCCTCCCTCCCACCTCTGCTCCTCTGGGTAGCAGGGCTCCCTGGGGTCCTCTCCCATCAACCCCCTTCTCAGGTGTGAAATGTGCCCTGGGCTGGCCACCGTTTCCTCCTGAGTATTTACACCTCGGTGTTGTGCAGACACACGTGCACACATACACACAAAAGCACACACTGCTGAGTGCTTACTCCCTTAAACACAGCTATGGAGTTTCCCACAGAAAGGGAGGAGTTATCACTTGGAGGATGCCCCTCAAGCTCTGGGGCTGCAAAACTTGCCCTGGATGACACTTGCTGATTTCTGCTCGTGAATCATTAAGGACCTTAGTTTTGTTGGTGTGTTTGATTTTTCAGAACGGTCCACTTCTATGCCCAGAAACATATTTTGTACAAAGATTGAAAAAGCATCATTCGCTCAATGCAGGCTCATTGCAAACGCGTTACTTTTTCCCCTCTCTCAAATGTCCCAGATTACCCAGGATTGCATCCAGGCTTTTTTTTTTTCTAGAGCCATTGAAAACCCAAGGCATGCTCCTTTGCTTTTTAGACAGTCAGTTTGTCCCTGTGCCATTGCTCGTGCCAACTGTGGGAGATGCTCACCCAGCCTCTGTCAGCACCAGTGCTCTCAAGGTGACAGGGTCATCTCCTCACCCAGCTCCTGCGAGTGCCAGAGCTCTTGAGGTGGCAGGGTCATCTCCTCACCCAGACCCAACCGGGGCCAGCCCAGCTCCACAGCCATGGGCAGGGTGGCCTCCACAAGGAACTACAGGGACAGGTCTCCTTCACTCCCGCCCTGGTTCAAGGGCGGACTCCATAGATCCCATCTAATTGTTTTGTGTGATTCATTTTCTTTTATCTTCTCAAAATGTAATCTTCTATCACTCGAGGCTTGCCCAACCGCAGCTCCAGGTGACATCACGTTGGAAGTGCTTTCCTCACTGCTCGTGGGCGCTCGCACTCACCCGCGCCGTGATGACAGGCCGGCAGCTCGGCTGTTGGCAGAACCAGTTCCTGCAGGCTGGGCAGGGAGGCTGCCCGCTCCGCCTTGGTTATATGTTTATAGTGTTTACTTGCAGGAATTAGTCATTGTTTGCTTCTGGTTTTGTTTTTTTTTTTTTTAATGGGGGTATAATTTATTAGGTGCACTCATAAGTACCCGGGAAGCTTTTCTGTTCTTTTCCCTGTTTCTCAAGTATGTGAAACACCCACAAAGTGTGCAACTTCAATTAAAAGTTGCATTTATGTTGCTTAATTCCTTCTACATAGACTGAGTTCAGTAGAGCTGGATGAGCTCAGTGCGTAGTTCCTTCACAGTTATTTTCATTGTATTACGGGAAGAGCCTTCAAAATTATTTCATTCTTATTTTATCCACCCATATGACGATGATGTGTACAAGAGTTTTGAGCAGGTTCATTTGAAGAGTAAAACTGCAGCCCTGCTGGTGCAGCTGGGAGCTCTGCTGCTGATGCCAGTGAGATAGGATCTCATCCAGAGACACGGCGTAAGGCTGGGAAGCAGGAACCAAAGTGCACGGCTGGGGCCAGCACTCCATAGGTATTTTAAAACATCTCTTTGTCAACCGCAAGTCAATATTTATCTGATCTGCCTACATACTTGTGTCTCCCCATTGTCATTATAATACTTCCCAAGTATTAAAATAGAACTAACAATTCGTGGCCGGCTTCTACCTAATTCTTCTTCAGGCAGATGCTTAGGTTAGTGGGAGTGTGCCCCAGTGAGGACGTCAGCATCCCACTGGGAAGAATCTAGAATGCCTGGGATTTTTTCTACAATCTTACTCTAAACCTAATAGAGCCCCAAAAAGATTTTTTAAAGGTGGTGGTGGGTGGGATTTCTACCATTTGTTAATTTTAATGTGCCCTGTCCACATCTCTGAGCACTCCAGCTCTTAATTTGTCTTTACTCACTGAGGCTCCTGACAAAGCCAAAGAGGGTGTGGGGGGAATCTATTTTTAAGAATTTACCACTTTCTTGACATCAGCTTCATACAGCTGTGACTTCAGATTGTGTTAGTAGATTATTTTAGCAGGGGCATTCACACAGAACAACTGCGTGGGGTTTTACCCCCGTATTTCCTTATTTGAGTAGCAAAGTATTAGACAAAGCCAGGCCTAAGAGACCTTCCTACTGCTACGTGGAATGGGGAACACCAGACCAAGCCAGACCTCTCGCCATGCCGGGGAATCCGCTCGCAGGGACGGATCACTGGGGAATGGGAGGAAAAGCACGGCCAGAACTGCAGCACCACTGAAAACAAACACAACCCAGATTCAAAGTGTGCCAGATCTGAAGGGGCTTCAAGCATCCCTTCAGTCAAGACTGCAGAGACCCTCTGTCTCTGCAAAATCGGGCTGTGTGTGGAGAGGATGCTGCCTGTCATTTTTAGCTTAGAAAGGAGCTGGCCATAATTAGGTTGGAGGTGTGGGGGCATTTTACAAGGGGTGCAAATATCCAGCAAAAGGGATTTGTGGGGATGCCTGGAGAGACTAACACTCCTTGAATCAACACAAGCAGCTGTAAGTGGTACATAAGCTGGTGATGGAAGTCTGTGACCCCTATTTGCTAAGGAAGGTGAAAGGATTTATGAAAGTTACATTCCTAATACACACTGATTTCTGGAATGAAAGAAACAGTTCAGGTTTGCTTTAGGACACAAGGAAAACTCATTGATGGGTTTTGGACATTTCCTTAGGAAGATAATGATCACTCTGATCAATCTGCTCTACTGCTTCCCCTCAACCGATTTTTGAACCATCTGGCAAGTGCAAAACACATTCATCACGGGAGCAGAGGTTTTC